CCGATCACGAAAAAACCTTCCCAGAAGGCCTCGAAACGCTACGCGATCCAGAAGATCTCCAATCCTCCCCTTTGGGGTGGCACAACACTGGTTCGGGAAACTCGACAACCACAGCGTACGTCCCCTTTCTCTCCCTCTTCTATCCACACCCCTCCTTATTATTTTATATAGCGGAAACAACGTCATATCCTTCAAGTCTTCCCAAACCGCCACATCCACCCAAACCTCCACAAACCTAAACTTCAACAGAGTCTACACAGACTCCCAAGATCCCACCACATCATCCAACATCGATGCCGCCAAAACAAACGCGTTTTATATTATTAATACTATGCATGACTTTGCGTATCGGTATGGGTTTACGGAAAAGGCGTTTAACTTCCAGCAGAGTAATCTTGGGAAGGGCGGGATGGAGGGGGATAGGGTTTTGATGAGCGTGCAGGATGCATCGGGGGTTAATAATGCGAATTTCGCTACGCCGCCTGAGTGAGTTTCTGAGTCGTTTTTGGGAAGGATGGATGAGCTGATTATGGGATAGTGGGCAGTCGGGGCAATGTAGGATGTTCATCTGGACACTTACCAACGTGGGTTTTTTTTTTTTCGGTTTTGACTCCCGATGAATAGCGCGTTTTTGACACTTTGTCTTCTTTTTAGCCCCGCCGTGATGGAACGATGGAGAACGATATTGTGATCCATGAGATGACCCATGGGATTACTAACCGTATGACGGGGGGTGGTACAGGGCGGTGCTTGCAGACTACAGAGTCGGGTGGGATGGGTGAGGGGTGGAGTGATGCTATGGCCGAGTACGTTCCCCTCCACTTTCCCCACCCCCTTCCCTCTCCCCGTTAAACACCTCACTAACCCCTTCCCACCAGCTGGATGGCCCAATCCTCCACAACCACAAAAGACTTCATCGTCGGCCAATACGTCGCCAACCGCGCCAAAGGCATCCGGTCGTTCCCCTACTCGACCTCCGCAACCACCAACCCCCTTCGCTACTCGAGTTTGCAGAAGCTCATGGAGGTGCATGATATTGGGGAGGTGTGGGCTAATATGTTGCATCAGGTGTACGCTGCGCTTGTAGCTGCGCGCGGGTTTTCGAGTAATAAGTTGACGGATGCGGGTGCGAAGGAGGGGAATGTTGTGTTTATGAGGGTTATGATGGATGCGCTTGCTATTCAGCCTTGTAATCCGACTTGTGCGTTTCTCTTTCCTTCCCCTTTTTCTCGTCCTCTTCATTTTTCTGTCTTTTCTCCCTTTCATTTTTTGTTTTGGTATCGGCCTTTGGCTGACCTTTCTTTCCATCCAGTCATCCAAGCACGCGACGCGATTATTCAAGCTGATCAGAACAGGTTCAACGGCGTGAATAAGTGTATTATTGCCAAGGCGTTTGCGAGCCGTGGACTTGGGTTGAAGGCGACTGGGAAGTTTGTGGATGATGCGACGCTTCCTGCGGGGTGTTAGCTAGCAAGTTACATACATTCTTTTGATATACCATTTTCCTGTCATATCGTCGCTCTGTGTGTAGATAGTTGTTCTCCAAAACGACAGTGCATCTGAAGTAGAGTTCCCGGGTGTCAAGAAGTATTTCTTCTGACCCCAAAAACAGGGACGTTGGCTGTATGGGAGTCGCCAGGCTGTCGGAAAAAAGTCAAGCCAAGCGAAAATTGAAGCATAAGTTCAACTTTTTTCAACTTTTTTACAACGTCAGATCATAGTTTCGCCTCCCCGCAGGGAGCTCATTTCAATTAAAAATGTCTGGCCATTGCAATTTTCATGCAACAGCCAGACGTGGTTCGGTGTTCCGTATTTTACTGACTACTGACGTGAAGGGGTACTGTTTACAACAAAGAAAAGCGTGGGCCTGGAGGGCTTAGGAAATAGTGATGGGAATGTTTGAAGACGACTTGCACGCATTGGCGCAAAGAGACTATCTACAGAAAGACATCAGAAAACAAAGAAAATAAGGAAAAGTACATGAAAAACTTACAGAATACACGGCAATGCACAAAAGGATGGCCATGTCGGGGCGGACCTGTTTGAGGACTGAAGAGGCTTTCCCGCGGTGAAAAGGTGCATTCGTCGAATGGTCTATTCAGATGCCAAATGAATGAGTTGTTGAGCGTGGATATATAAAACAACGTACATTGTTTGCGATCACGGGGGGATGCAGGGATAATAAACGTGCAGCATTGTAGTCATTCTCCGCAGAAGTGAATCTAGAAAAGATTATTAGTCAAAGAATGAAGAATAACATGGAAGACGATGGCGGTGTGAGAGCGATTGCCGGACATGAATATGCACCGCAACACAGCCACATGCAGAAAGTGAGCTGGCCTCAAAGAAATCAAACTCGAAGCATGTATGAGAGCCAAAGAATGAAGGAAATGTGGTTAGGCATGTGTACCTAGTCAGCGGCATGAGGGTGGTGGCCAAAACTCAGAAAATCGAGTTTGAACTTGTGACGCAAAGCTATGTGCTGCCACGTACTATGTGTAGAAATCCAGCGGCGTGAGGGTGATCACCGGAACTCGAAACATCAAGTTTAAACCGTGGGGAGGGGCGACACAAACAAAATGACAAGATAACTATATCATGCCACATAGCAAAGGCTGAATGAGGGAAAGAACGGAGGAAATCGATTGGGTGTATGGGTAGGGATGTGCAAATATTAAGCGGTGTGAGGGCGATTGCCGGAACTCAAAAAATCGAGTTGGAACCATGGGGTTGGAGTGACGGAAAGAAAATGAGAAGCAGCAGGAGCGATGGCCAAGAATGAAGTAAATCAATCAGGTGTATGGGTAGGGCAAGGGTAGGGTTGTGTAGAAAGCCTGCGGCGTGAGGGCGATCGCCGGAACACGAAAAATCGAGTTGGAACCATGGGGTTGGAGTGACAGAAAGAAAACGACAAGCAGCACTATGTGCTGCCATGTAGCGATGGCCAAGATAGAAGTAAATCGATCAGATGTATGGGTATGGTTGCGTAGAAAGCCTGTGGTGTGAGGGCGATTGCCGGAACTCGAAAAATCGAGTTTGAACCATGGGGTTGGAGTGACGGAAAGAAAACGAGAAGCAGCAGGAGCAATGGCCAAGAATGAAGTAAATCAATCAGGTGTATGGGTAGGGCAAGGGTAGGGTTGTGTAGAAAGCCTGCGGCGTGAGGGCTATCACCGGAACTCGAAAAATCGAGTTTGAACCATAGGGTTGGAGTGACAGAAAGAAAACGACAAGCAGCACTACGTGCTGCCACGTAGCATGGCCAGACTTGGGAAAAATCAAAAAACGATTCCAGGAGTAAATCTTAAAGGTGATATGAGAAAAGAAGAACAAAGATGGGTGTATGAACAAGCTTACAATGTTTATGAAGATGGGTAAGCAGGAGGGCGATTGCTGGATCTCGAAAAATCGAATTCCAACGAGGGGATGTGTTGTAGAAAGGAAATGTGGTAGCATCATGAGGCGATTGCCGGACATTCAAATATCGATTTAGAATGGTGTTGGGAAGCCACAGCGGCAGAACTGCATTTTCCGGAAAGCGATACATTGTGTTGGGCCAATCCAGAGGTAAGGTTGGAGGAACAGGTGGCATGCCACGTGATAGCGATCCATGGATGTCGAAAAATCAAAGAACAGATTGACAAAAAGCCTGGAGCAAGATAAACGGGGGTTCAGGACAGTGACAACACATAAAACTTACATGAGAAGACTTCCTCATGACAGCAATCCCCGGAACACCAAAAATCAAGTTGGAATTGCGCCCATTGCCAAAGTTCGTCACTTCGAGTTCTGTGGGATGCAATATATTGTTATGAGACTTCATTAGCAAATGTAAGTGAAGGATCACAGACCAAACTCATTTGCATGGCTTAGGCATGCATAACAGCTGAGACGACAAGCACAGAGGTGGTGGAGGAAAGTAAAGCTGTGTGGCCCAAAACAGAATTGTTAGTCAACGTGGAGAAGAACAAACAAAAATTAACTCACCAAGGTGGAATAAGTGAACGTCGTCAATAACAACGACCTCCGACTGGATGGCGATGATGAGTGAAAGTGTGACAACAAATGGCCAAGCAACGACAATCCAGATGAGAGCCGGGCAGCGTAGGAGCATAATGGAGGCAAGGGGAAGGGTGAGCATTCACATATTTTCGAATCTACTTATACCTCTGGGTGCCAAGGAAAATCAACAAAGCTTAGTGTGAGTAAGTATCTTGGTGTGACTTGGCCGGAAGTATCCAGCCGACAAACAATGTGCGGGGACCTTGCAATTTTAGCTTGCGCCAACATTCCAGGAATAGAGTGATCGGGAGAATATTCTAGGAACACGCACCTCGAATCAAGAATTCGGAGCTATCAAACTTTGTGTGTTCGATTTTTTGCAACTCAGGTTTTCCCCCCATTCCTCGCCCCCCCCTCACCACTCAAACTCTTGCCCTTGCTAACTCTGCTTATGTACCAGGTTCCATTTTTCCAGGATATAAATCTTCNCCCCGGCACCTGTGGTAA